GTGTGAAGAACTGAGGAAATGCAGATATCCAGGAAAGGTGGTAGCTGTGGGATTGAGGTGGATGCATCGGCACGAAAGAACACCATTCTGGGACAAATTAACAGAGGCAATAAAATATTTTCTGGCGTGAAGCCTGCGGGTAAGTGAATTGGCCCGTTTTTTGGCAGGGATTGCCTCTTGAGTCATGAGATACCCTCGACGAATGATGAATGATAACCGGCAACCCAGCTACGTTTATGGAGGCCGGTGTATTACGGTTTCGCACATCCTGGCCCCGACGCAATCGGATCTTCTGAGACTCGCTTGTGAATATGGAGACAGTGCTGTCACAAGACATACGACGAACGGTGCTGCAGCTCAGGGACCACGACCTGCGATCATATATTTTTTCCAAGGGATTTTGCCTAACCAGTAAACCGGCTACGTTCATGCTGGTAACTGCACCTCTGTGGGGACTGCTAGGAGGGAAACACTGCTAAGTTTGTTCCGCACACTGCCTGGTGGCATATGCCTGACCCTCTTAGGTCTTTTGTACGACTTTACCTTTTACTTTTTTACTTTTTTACTTTTTTCTGTTCTTCTCTAATTTTCCTATTTCGGAATTTTCTAGAAGTGGAATCCGAAGGTATCGAGGTAGTCGGCGAGCTCGAAGTTACTATAAGATCTAGCTAGAAGAGTTAGTTCCTCAATTTGAGTGGCGAATGAGTAGAAGGATTGAGATTCCTCAATGGTGTGCAGTTGGGAAAGATGCTGGGGAATGGTGATTTCACCATGATAAGTAAGCTCATGTCACCTTTTCCTAATTTCGTCCTATTTGTAATGTTCTGATAACCAAGGAAATCCACAACTTCTGATCAGAATGGCTGGGGGGGGGAAGGGGAGGCAAGATGGCCCAGGTAGACTAGCGAGGGGAAAAAAGGGACGAGGAGGGGCACGTGACTTCACCAAGGACTACAAGCTCAGGTTCCACGACTGGCTCTAGGTCGACCCCAACATTCTGATGAAGAGCCGATAGGAATTCCCAGATATGTTTCCCCCGACAACCACAACAATCGTAGAAAGGCAATGGTACGAGCAACAATAAGGAGGTCGGATTGCTCGTAGGGGGTAAGACACCTGCTCTTAGCAGATTATGCAGGCAACAGGCTAAAGACAAGTGTCTGTTTCTGTAGGGATGCTAGACCCGCCTCCCAACAGGGGTTGGTGGGGGGAGGGAGGAAATGGTGTGAAACAACAGGTATCTGGCACCGGGTCCAGGGTGAAGAGGTTCCCGCCTCCTTCCAATTTCTTGCTAAGTTAATCGCAGGGTAATCAATGCTGGCAGAAATCTCTCACTATGGTTCTTCAGATATTCCCCATTCTCAATTTGTATCCAATTTGTACAAGGGATGTTGAACCCGCTTTCCAGCAGGTGAAGCTCCCCACCAATAGATGGAGCCTCTTCCGAGATGCTACTGGTGTCTGCTCTTATCAGCACCACTAACACCGATGGGGGTGTGTGTTTAAAAGAAAAAAAAAAAAAGAGTGTGCTAAGGATTTTTGGGAAATCGAGTGTGGAGACAGTCAGAACTGAAGTCTCACGTGTGATCCCATATATGGAGTGACGAACAAAGACGGGAAGGGGATAGGGGCGGAAGTGTCCTAACTACTATCTAATCCAAAAAATATCTTTGAACTTCGTCACTCGCAGCGGGCCGTCTTTTGCCTGGTCAAAAGGGAGGGGGAACGCATGTCGGATCTCAGTTTCAAACAACGAACTGACGACGTTCGTCTCATTGTGCAAAATTTGAGTCAGAGGGCCGCAACCTTACTGCTTTCTCTTTGAATTCCTCCTCACCACATGTCCGATAGTTAAACCCTTGGGCTTGGTAGCGCTCCGTGTGGCGACAATCCCTGCGCAAGGTGCAAGGCCAGTGGGGAGCACCTATCGGCCACAGGATCACGATCAACTCGTTGAAGGGAAGCAAAATGATGTAGGGAGTGAAATCGGTCTCAACGATTACAGAACCCGCATTAACGAATCTTAAACACTATGCTTCGGAAGGGAAGTGATAATGGTCACCGATCTTGGTGGTGGCTTCTCTGACGTCCCACTTAAAAACGCGCGTCCTATCCTCGTTGTACAGGAAAGGTCGTGGGCGGGAAGGTTTCGAGAAGTTGACGCCATGATGACTCCACTGACTCAGTCCACATGGCCGATA